GAGTGCTGAAATGCCACACATAATTAAATGAATCATTCTTGAAACATGAAACAAAACCTTTAATTAGATTAGAAAACGATAAAGTTATTATTCATTATAAAAGCTTACTAGACTTGCTTTAGCTAAAACAGAGTAATCTATTAATTAAAATGAAAATTAAAGATTTTTATTTACAACTTTGATAAATTGAGTAAAAAAAGATTATTATAGTATGATTTACATATCACAGTAATAATTGTTGTTTTAACATATTACATTTTGAATTTTTCCCCTTAAATCTTCCCACGGTCCAGACATGGTTAAAGGCCTTGTGAAAGACAGTCTGTGTTATTAACATTCATAAAAAAATGTTAAATGAAAAATTTGAAATGAAAATGAACAAGTCTGTCATTACTTACTCACCCTATGTAATTCCAAACATTACGTACTTTATGGTGCTTTCTTGGAGCTTGATAACTCTGAGCCACATTGCCTATACAGTTTTTTTTAAACCTTTCTCCTTTCGTGTTCCATACAAGCAAGAAAGTCATGCAAGTTTGGAACAATGACAGGTGGCTATTCCTTCAAAATAATGGAGCTGAGCATGCTGAGATTAAACCGAAATTACAAGAGATACTTTAGTTCAAGGGAAAGTGTTGCAGTTTTTTCTTTTGTAAATTTTGACATATAAGTCCTTTCAGGTCTGTGAAAAAAAATCTGATAAAAAACAGAAATGGATGTTAAAGCCTGCACGGTGAACATACAGAGAAGTCTATCATAACAATCTACTGAAATGACTAAAATATCCTTATGGTGAATATAATAGGTGCTTGTTATGCTTTGAGTGCATTTAGTGAATGTTAGGTGCATTTTAAAATACTTCTCATTGGAAAAAATTTTTTTTTCTAGAAGACCATGAAGTGTATTGTAGACACCTTTCTCAGAGAACAGGCCAAATGATAATGATACCTTTTCACATGAAAGACAGAGAGGAAGGAATTTGTGCAGCACAGGGTAATTGCTACTTTCTAATCACTGAGAAAAGACTTTGGACATTTGTCAAGACTGAAGCTTTGGGGGTTGGGGGACGTTATGTTGCACTTATTCCAGTAGAAGTGCGAATCTAATGAAGAAATGGTTAGGACAAAGTTCACTCCAGAAAAGAAAAAGTAATACTAATTCTCATTAATGTAATACAATAATAAAATTTTGAACAACAACAACAGTAACATTATGGGGATGTTCAAACACACAAGAGCATCTGAGAGCAGCAAACACCCAGGAATGTGTGAATGCAAAGGATGTGGAAGCCTCGGTCTGAAGAGAGAGAGCCTGTAACAGTGAAAGAGCGAGCGGGGATGGAGGCTGCATATAAATGTGGCTTTCTAGATCTGGGCCTCTCTGGGAATTTGCCACAGCTCTGTGTGAGGAAATGTAGTGACCACAGTATGTGTGTGTATGAGAGAGAGAGTGAGATTTTTTTAAAGGGTGTGATTCTTCTAGAATGCCTGCTAAAAGCAAATGAAGAGCCACTTGTGCTAACAAAGAGAGGAGAGCATTGCCTCACAAACAGCCATCTGATGTCTGTCTCACATCAGATGTCTCAAATTAGGCCCATTTAAACCCCCTCAGGCCTGCATTTGGCTTTTAATGCATGGAGCACTGTTGAACAGGACATTGATTGTTTGAGGTTTCAGTCAGAGGTCATATCAGTGAAATTGCATGTCCAAACACTCCTCCCTGGATAAACTCCAGAATCACAGAGGACGACTGCATTTATCTCCGAGGAATGTGGGATTTTCCGTATCGTGTATCTACCTGTGCTAAGATAAAGAAAACTTTTTTTTTTTAAATACAGGTTGAAGGCATTGGTTTTATTAATGGTTCTAGGACATCTGCATTTGCCAATTAACTAAATAGCTACTGTTCAGCTTAGTTCAGTTCTGTGTTGATTCAGTTTAGTTCAGTAACAATGTTCATCAGTTATGAAACAAGTCCAATTCAGTTATATGCAGCTCTACAGAAGGCAATGGCAACTCAAGTGATTCAGTTCAACTAAATTCAATAGCAGTGTCAATGTTGCAAAATTAATCATTTATGAAACAATTCTTATTCAACTATAAAGAAGCTCTACAGACGAAAATAGCTCAACGCAGGTCAATTTTTGTTCTCATCTAATAGCGAGTATAAAATTATAGCCTAAACTTGCAGAACAGTCATTTTGGTCCAATTTAGGAACCAAACAGACTCATAAATTAATTCTTAACCAAGAAAGTCTAAATAATATTTGATAAAAGTTATCTGTTAGCATGGTAATTTCAATGACAGTTGCTTGGGTGGCCCATGCAGCCTTTAAAGTATGATTTGAAATCTGCCATTTTTGGGTGTTCTGCTTTCCAGTGTTCAGTTCTGCATCTTGCTTGTTTTCAGCAAATCACAAGCCACAAATACTAACACGCATTGTCCATTTCATGCTTTTAAGAGCCCTGTAAAAATAACTGTGCACTGGCAACTTGTATATCATTAATATGTCATTATATTATAAAAGTTGCTTGCAAAAAATAAATAAATATTGCATCAGAGTTATCATCCAAAAAAATACGCCAGATGGGGTAGTTACAGCATCTACCAGCAGGGGCAAACAGGGCTGTGCTACCCAGCAAAACCTTGACTTTTTTTCTTCAACAGTATTGGGTTCCAAACATTGTAACATTTATTTGAGATTTATGGTCCTCACACAGATTATTAGTGACTCAGCAAGAGGAAAGGAATGGGTTTGATGTGACAACTGCATTATTAATAGCTCACATTTTAAAGCTGCGAGATCCGGGATGTTCTGGTACTAAGCATCTATTGTTCCCTCCTCACATCCCTGAGCTTGTTTGTGTGTGTTCAAAGTCTTAAATTTGAGGTGAAAATGATGATGAATGTCTAACTCAAGGTGCTTTTGTGTTCATGTTAAATGGTGAGAAATGACTTTTATGTGAACATCTGGAGTGTTTGGTCAGACTCCATTAACCAATGCTTGGTCTGCAGGTACAGTGACAACACCATGAATCAAAGCCCATAAGCCTGAGGACTGTGTGTGTGTGTGTGTGAGTGTAAGAGAGATGGCAGTGCTTGTTGAAATATTCCCCCGCTGGCTGATTTAATTACAGTTCACGCAAACCCCCTTTACAGAGAATAGCTGTGATTTCTCACCATTTAACCTATTATTTTATTTCCATTCAAGTGCACTCCTCTAAAATCCTAAAATACTTACAAAATCCAGTACTTGGAAAGCAGCTATGTGGCTGCGAATTAGGGAAGTATTTAGATTTGTTAGCTGGATTGTTAAATGATATTGACTAATCTCTATCTTTTTTTCTCATAGTTTTTAACAGTGTTGCTTTGAAGTTGATGAATTTAGAGATGCAGATCCCCTGAGAAGGTTTTAGCATGCTTGGAACATGTATAATCTCAGCCATAGACCACACTGTCCACATTCACAACCTGTAACTGCACAAAACTGCGGTTCATGCCCAGAATAAGCTGCAGTTTGGTATGGCTATCTATTTTGCAAAACAGAAGTAAGCCGTTTCTCTAAATTTATAAAGAATAATTAACCTAAAATGCATATTTTCTGAATAGTTAGTCACCCTCAGGGCATCCAATCTTCATTGGAAGAGATTTGAAGAAATTTACATCACATTATATCACTTGCTCACCAATTGATCCTCTGCAGTGAATGGGTGCCCTCAGAATGAGAGTCCAAACAGCTGATAAAAACATCCCAATAATCCATAAGTAACCCTCACGACTCCAGTTCATCAATTAACATGAAATGAAAAGCTATGAAATAAAACGAAAAGCTGCGTGTTCATAAGAAACAAATCCATCATTAAGGCATTATAACTTAAAACTGTCGCTTCCGGACAAAATGCCAGTACGTAATCCATAATAATTCATCCTCCAGTGAAAAAGCTGATCTCCTGTTGTCCTGTCACATCAAAATCAACCAACATATTTGCTCAGATCTGTTTTGAACTTATAAGTTTTTGCTTATAAACAGTGCTTGATCTGTGCATATTTGTCTCCTGATTCAGATGAAATTTTAACTTTTTCACTATTTTAACCGGTGACCCGAGTTCAGTTTCCATCGTGAGGTCCTTTGCTGATACTGTTTCCCTCTCTCTGCCCCATACATTCCTGTTTGATCTGTATTGTCCTATCCAATGAAGGCACAAAAAGGCAAAAAATTGATTAAAAATGATTAAGCTATGATTATTGTGATTTCATCGGCTGTTTGGACAAACTTTCTCAACTTTCCACTTTGTTTATCTTAACCATAACTATACACATTCTGTGGTAAATTCTTGAATATACCAGCCCAGACGTGTCTGACCTAAACATTCAAAAGATTGGCCACTACTGAAATTCTAGAGAAGTCTCTCATACGATCTTGGATACCTGATGCTATCAGTGTCAGTGTGTGTGTGTGTGTGTGTGTGTGTGTGTTTGAGCTTTTGTGTATGTGGCTGTAGTCTGAGCCAGTGGAGCAGATGTTGGGTGCTCATCTTACAAATGACTTTGGAGGATTTCCCAATGAGATGTGGAATGGCTTATTCTCCACCAAGATTTCAAAACAAGGGTCTAAAAATAAAGTCTGTGCTAAGTCGCTCATCAGTGAAGACATCAGTCGTGCAGCTCTGAGTTTCAGCCCACAGATTCAACATGTAGAAGGATTGTCAGCATGTGTTGGGGTTCAGTGTTTATTTGCAAAATATTTGCATTTCAGAAAATTTGAATTGGGCATGGAACTTGCTTCACATTTAAAGGAAGAGTTAACCCAAATATGAACATTTTTTCGCCATTTACTATGTAGAGAGTGCAGTCACGACAAGTTTGCCATCAGGGATGGCAAATCCCATGGTTCTTGGGTGTCCCATGACTGCATATTAAATTATCATTTGTCTTACAAGTATGTGTTGCAGAGGTATCATTCTTTATTATCAAAGAAGGAAAGAAAAAACTTTCTGTGCAGTAATATTTTATTTCAACTATACATGCCGTGTTAAAAAAAGTCAACAAAAATATTCTTAAACAATGACTGTAATTATTTACACTTTCACAGTACAGCTTTACAATATCTACACATTAAAATATTCCAGAAAGGAAAAGCTGTATTTCAACTGCCAAGGTTTGCACAGTATTAAAAATAAAAGGTAGACCAGTCTGGTTTCTTTGCACGTAGAGTATTGACTGAACAGTAAAGGCTTGAAGTCAGATTGCAGATTTATATTGCAATATACAAGGCAGCTCAACACAGGACAACTTGAACCAGAGCACAGGATCAACTCTCTCTCCTTTAATAAAACTGATCTTTAGCAGGTGATGATGCACCAGCCTCCGCTCAGCTGCTCTAATACAATCAGAACATGTAAACAAACATGAAGCTTTGGGATTGAACAGGCAAGTTTCCCCTCAATATACTGAAATTCCCAAGTAATTTCAAACAAACTGTGAGTCTCTAATCGTAGATGACCCACTATAAAAGCACATCTTGATTTGACCCCATTAAATATTGTGAAATATTGTGAGCTGAGAGTTAGGTGATATACATTTTAGATTCATAATACATTCATTGCATGGCATCTCATCATCGCAAATTAGCACCTTCCAGAAATGAATAAAAATAAAATGGCAATAAGAAAATGGCCAAGTAATTATTATAATTTTTTATTATAATCTCATTTCTATAAAAGAAATTTCATTCTGAAGGTCCAGCCATATCATGGTCTCCCCATCCAGGGCCGTAGTCACTGCAAATACTGAGGGGACTCCAAATTTTCAGATTACTGGTCAATCATTATGGGTTTTGCAATGACCAATTCCTAAAATGTCACCCTTGGGTAGCCTCCCTGCTCATATCCAACCAAAAATTATTTGTCTATGATGAAATGTCCAAAACCAAACTGTGAAATGTGAAATGAAATATATAGTGAAATGTCCAAAACCAAACTGCGCTCTCATGACTTTAATAAGGCACACAAATACACTGATCCAGGTAAACTTGCCTTGAAAATATCCACACTTAAATAGTTGAATATTTACAATAACGCTATCACTGGCACGACTCTGCAAGACACACTGGTAGGTATTGCAGTGATTGTACACTTATAGTGAGTATGCAATTGAGGCCTCTGTTCTTTTAAACAAGCAAAGTGAAGCGTAACTCTCAGATAGGGTCTAGTATGGAGCTGAGGTTGGGTTTTGCCACAGAGTTGAGTAGTGGTATATGGTAAGAAATGTGCTGTTTGCAGTTTTTTGTAATACTTTGCCCAGGAACCAAAAAGCAAGCTCTCTGAAATGGTGTAAACTGCAAGGAATATTCAAGAATGTAAAAGGAGACAAAAATTGTCTTGAACTTCACAGACCCAACAGCAGTGCTTGCTTGGCATGTGAGAAAGGAGAGAGGTTGATCAATGATCTGCCTTACGTCATAGTTGAAAGTTGACTTTATGGGATTACAGGATTCCCAGTGATTTTCTGGAACTAAAAATGACCAAAGAGAACATTGTACATTTGACCAGCGTGATCCTGTGCTGAACCTGTGGGTTTAAAAGCTTGACGCAGCTTGACACACAGAACTGCTGCATGAAATGCCACACTGGAGTCTGTTAAACATTGTCATCGTCTACACTTAGCAGCACAAATGTTGAGGGCACTTTTACCCTGTGAGTTTTAAAATCAGTAGTCCAAGCAGGAGCCCTGGACATTTCTTTTGCACGCAGAAATGATTAATTAATGTCTGAACTTCTGTGTCCAAACACATCTGATGTTAATGCACAATAAATGGGATTTAGTTTTATGACAGCGATGACTCAAGCTTGTTCTCATTTTACTGAAAAAAACACGGTCAATGAATGCACACTGGTTAGCCCCAGAGACTAATCAAACACAGACACGCAACATGTCCCTTTCACTCTGCCTGTCTTCTGGAGAGATATCCAAGCAAGAATATCATATTTTCCAAACAGTCTAACAAATACAGTTCACATTGACGGGGAGAACAGTGCATAAGGGAGCATACGCTGCCCGATCGCCGCTGCAACTATGCAGCTGCTTTATGCTGCATGTCAGCTGTGACCCATGACCTCAGGCGTTCCTGCCGCCTTAAAGATCAGAATCCGTCACCTGCCACTTAAGCGTGACAGGACAACGTCATTGAGAACTAGCACAACTACCCGAAACAGAAGCTCTGCCATCCGATTCATTTCCCTTCATAGGGAACGGAGACTGGCACGCCATATCTCTGCGGGCCAAATGCTTTTACTCCCACTGTCCATTCATCGAGTAAGATCCTGCTAAGCATTTCAGTAGCTATACTTGTTCACTGCCCTCATTTGTGCAGTCTGTGGTGCAAAGCCATTGGGTTTGGGGGGCACATCGGGCTTTAACGATGCTGTCCGTTTGATGGATGTTCGTGGTAAAGATCCATGACCACTGTAGCTGCTCTGCCTGGATACGGAAGGTGTCATAGCCATTGGTACCCCATGAGAGTCTAGTCTAGTGGGTGGACTAGGAGTTGGGGCCATGTACCCACCTCTGTTCATACTAGGTTGCCGGGACACTATGGCCCCGCTAGGTGAGTGCAGCCCTTTGGGCGGCGAGGATATGGAGTGTCGCTGGGATGAGCTGCGGTGATACCGCTGTCTCTCGAGAGTTCCCATCTGCCCTGTGGGTGATGTTGGAGTAGTAGGCACATCCAGTCTCTTGGTCGGGCTATTCCTGGGCAGAGAGGAAGACGGAGAGTACAAGGAGGCCTCTCGGCTTGGGACTTTGGGGGGAAGCTCTGTTGGGCTTACAATGGGTTCCAGCATCAGGTGCTGTCGGGATTTGGGCATCTCCACCATGATGGCCTTTGGGTTGCTATCATTCAGGTGCTTCAAGAGGTCGTTCAGGGTGTTCCTGGCATCCACAGTGCGCCGCTGGTCTTTACGGCCAGACTTGGAACCATGTTGATCACTATTCTGGATCTTTTCAGCTTGAGGCCCTTCAGGAGTATTGAAGGATGCCCTGCTCTCATGTGTGGCATTGGGCAATACTACGGCACTGGGGATGTGGGGGTTGCTGATGGTAGAATGGGGAGGGGGACTGGAGGGAAGGTACTGTGGGCTCTTGGGTGGCCCATCTTTGCGGGAGCCACTTATCTTTCCGTGAGCTCTCTCCCATTGGTTCTTAATTGGCTGAAGGCTCTTCTGTTGAAGCACAGGTGTGGACTCGGGTGTAGGCAGTGCTGCTAGTTCTGGTGGCTGTCCGCTCAAGAGTATTGTCTTTGTGTCTCCGGTGGTTGGCACCTCCCTCCCATTGCTCAACAGGTTGGTGTAAAGTTTGGGAGTATCCATATTGGGTTGGTACTCTTTCACAGGACTGTCAAACAGACCGTTGAGCTTGGCAAAGCTGCCAGTGGAATCAGTGCAGGACTGTGCTGACTCTGCATCTTTTTGGATCTTGCGTGGAGTGCGAAGGAAGGCATCTCTATAGCAGTAAACGACCATGCCAGCGATGAATGCACCGAGCAGAAATGCAGCTAACACACAGGAGATAAGGATATTCATGTGCACCATCTGGTTAGATTCACCTGCTTGTATTTCCCACACACCTGCAACACAGATAGCCAAATACCATGTTAACACACTTGCACAGTTGATCACTGAATAGCTCTCTCTTAAAGCAAAAAGTCCTTTCCCCCCCGAAAAGGATGCTTAAAAATTTGGTGTGAATCAAAGCATACAACTGTTATTTCCAGCATATTAAAAGCTTTTTAAAGAAATCGAATTAGCATTCAGAAAATACAATGAGATATCCTTTTATTATATTAGTGAAGGAGGCAAATTAGTAAAGTGGTGTGGTGGAACATTTTATTGCACATGGGTTGCAGTATCAGGTGAGTTAGTATGTTGTTGATTTACATGGGAGTTTTCCCAAAGAGAATTAAGCCCGCTGCCTTCGTCTAGCACCCGGGGGTGAGTGTTGTTAGTGTCCGCATATATTCGAAATAGTTAGCTGGTGAATAATGTTGCTTGAAAGGTGATTAAAAGTGTTGCTTAGTGGCAAGGCCTTTGGAAGATTCCCTAAAACTAAAAACCAAGGGCAGAGAAAGAAAAATATGAAAGAAGATAAAGATGTAGCCATTTAAGACAGATTGAACAAAAAATGTAATAGAAAATGCATTAAATGAAAATATATAGAAAATAAAGTTAAACGTGTAGGACAAATCATAGTAACAAAAGATTTTTAAAAGTAGGGAAAATAATAATAAAAAGCTTTATACGCTGATGGAATCTAAGTATAGCTGCTTGTATCATCTCTATACACTTCAAGACAACAAGGCATTGTGCTGACCTGAAAGTTTTCAAGAGCACTTGCACTAGGAGTCTGCATCCCTACTTTGCAAATGTAGTGTGACTGACTGCAGAATTGCTTATCATGCCATTTTGGTAAGGAATGGGCTGCTATCAGAGATGTTTGCACTCTCTCAGTAGTCTAGCAGCACTAATAGCAGCTATTACCCAGAATTCCATGCAGCAGCGCTTAGCGCTCTGGTCAAGGCCTTACCCTCCAGCACACCTGGTATATGCTCAATAGAATGTGAAGTGGCTGGGTCATCGTGGAGCACAAATTTCCGTGAGCCAAAGAGTTGGGGTATCTGAGTGGGGATGGTTTGGGATGATTGTATGTGTTCAGAGGTCACGGGCACTGTGACTGACGATGATGGCAACTCCATGTCTGTAGCGACAAACAAACTGTTATAGAATCGGCGCCCATGATAGGCGCAACGTAACGATCGGGGTTAGTACATACTGACAGAACTGTCATACGTCAGTTTATTCGATTCATTGAGGATAATTTTTAGAGATTGACTCTGATGTTTTAAACCATTACAGGAAAGTAATGACTGTGCAGAGTCTCAGGTAAGGAAATTTCAGCCTGAGAGGAGGGAAAGGATGAAGATTATCTCTAATAGAATGAGGAGACAACAATATATTCCAGGGAGATGATAAGGTGGAGGCAACACATATCCATGCAAGAACGAAAGAATGAATGGATGAAATGATGGACAAGCTGGTGCTGAGAGATCAGGTGCCTCTCAATGATAATGGTGATAATATGATGAAAAGCACAGGAATAAGGGTAGGTGCAGCAGTAGAGGTGAAAAGAAAGGGAGAAAGATGAACTCAATGAATGAATCCTGAGTGGTATTCTGACCACACAGCTGGAAAAGGCCACATAGAGTGTGTGGGTGTCCTTATCTAGGTGGAAAGACATAATTCGCCGATCGTCCTCATTGCTGGATAAACACCTGGGAGAAAAACAGAACAGAGGGAGGGAGACAGTGAAGAACAGATAAATCATGTTATCGGATCTATCCGTCAGTCACTGCTTTCTTCAGTCACACAGTTCAGCAGAAAGAGAACAAAAAAACACACTGACGAGGGAAAGTGAAAACCTTTCGCTTTCACATTAAACAGATCTAATCTCATCTCAAAGGATCCAAAACTTTCATTCAGGTCATAAAAGGATAATTTGGGAGTCATTTCTGGGTAAATAGCCAAGACTGCTTCATAAAATGATTGTGTCTACAAATAAGTTTCCCACAATTTCAACACAAAGAGAATGCCTTTAGAGACTGATCATGAGATAATTATAGGTTGAAAAACATACTTGGCTTGATTGAAAATGTCAATCTCCTCCAGTAGGATGGTGTCATTCAAAGACAGTGGGGATGTCTTGGCCAGAACCTTTAGCATGATGCCTGCCTCAGAGCCAATGAAAACCACTGTGTAATTCTTATGGGGTCCTGCAGTGTTATCAACAGCGAGTGTCGTGAGCCTGTACCTACAAAGATGAAGGAAAAACACTTGAGTACAAGGCCGCTTTTCAGTTACAAGGAGACGCCTAATTTACAACAGCTTAACTTGAGCTGACAAAGGACAAAACATGTTGAAACGCGACACATCTATCAAGACCTGAAGTAGTTAAATTAGGTGTGCCAGTTGTTTAGAACGTGAAACCAACGCTCTTTGCTGGGAGGGTTATAAAATGTTTACCCGATACTTATTTAACAAGTGACACTGGGTCTAGATGGCAAACTGCTCAGTTTGTTGTTACGTAATTATATGTTTTATGTAAGAATAGTATTAAGTTTCTTTCTGACGGATATCAAAATTTTTTTCTGATTATACAGATAAACCAAAGAGAGCTGGTGGCTTTTCCTGTCAAAGTGGGCAGACTGTGCTGTTTGTCAGATATCTTGGTTGCAACAAATCCTGCGAGAGTGTCAGATCAAGGTTTTTCAGACTGTGCTGAATGATGGCACTGTGCCCGTACCTGACTCTTGTTTTGGTGAACCACGGTTCGTCTCCAATGGAGGGGACTGAGGCGTCCATGAGAGGGTGTGACTTGATGAACTGAAGGGTCTCGTCTGGAAACTCGATGGAGGTTTTGTAAGACTCTGCTGAACCGTGTCCCGCACAGCAGCCGGGTCTGAAAAGACAAAACGCACACACATGCAGTTCCGGTTGAGGGAAAGCGGGCAAAGAGCCTTGTGCCACATGCCTGTAAATCTATACCCGCCTCCATATGGCCACTGCACACACAGGTTAAATATGCAGCGTGTTCAATTATCGCTTGTTAATTATTAATCTCACAATGATTAGCCCGTCACGCACTAGTGCGTGCACCAACCTGGGCTTAGGCAGCTTATCCTCTGGAAATGGCGTCCACACTGAATCTGGCGTCTTTTGCTCTTTGAAACGGCCATGGAAGGCTTTCTCAATGTCCGCCATGGAGAACGCACACACCGCGGAGCCAGGGATACTAAATAAATCAGAAACAGCGGCGTTAGTGCTATTAAGTCTGTTTCTATGTGGAGTTTTTCTGGAAAGGATTGTGACGAGCTTTACCTGTTCAACTGGGTGGTGAAAACTCCAACCACAGAAGGCACCCCATTAATGTCGATGATGTCCGTAATAGCCTGAAGGACGTCAAAGTAGAAAAACGATTCTCCAGGAACAGAACAGTTTAGGCGAGCCTTAACAAAAGTTGTCCAGTGTTTTTCCAGCACCCGCTGAGACCCTCCCATGTCATTTTTACAGATCCGAGCCACTCTGGAGTAAACCGCCTGCAGTGAGAGAAAAATAGCAGGAGAAACTCAGCATCGCTCTCTAAATAATAGAACTATCTCCCCGACGGCTAAGTCGAATCTAAATATACACAAGAAACATTTTTTTTTTCTCTTGGATAGAACAAAACTGCAATGTGCTAGAGGGCTTGAATTAGCACCATGTAACCATCTTAATAATTCACTACTGTAAAACCAGCCCTCAATGCAGGTGTTGACTGAAATATTAACTAAACTTAAATATTCATTAGTTTGTGGTACAAAGAAGTCATTATATAGGCCAATTTAAAGCAAATCCTGAGGCAACGGATGCTATATTGACCCTCTGGGACAAACACTCATCTCTAAATAAAAGCCTATGAATACTACATTAACATACAAATCAGAACTAAATCATTACAGTTCAGATACCACGGTATTACCATCTGACAATACCATGGTACCACCACATTACTTTTTTGTGTGCGTTTTGTGAAATTTAGCACCCGTAGCAATGTTAGCATTGCACAATTCATAGCAAGTCATACCTTTCCCAAGTTGTTGTGCTCGGCTGCGATTTCTCTGAAAAAAAAGTAGACAAAATCCCCATAATCCACGGCATGGAGAAAATGTGGCTCTGGAAGAGAAAGAGAGTGAAGCATTAGCATCTCCGCCGCTGACCCCAAGTTAAATTTTGATGCGTTTTTGTTGGCTGAGTGTATGGCTAAGTGTTGAGCTAGATTGTGCCACAGGAAGCTGGATTTTACATCAACACGCACCATTTTCTTTCTCCATCACTGACCCACTTCTTTAAGGTATGGTTACAGGTTATAGGTCAGATGTGTACTGGGTTCAGCAAGGTTAACAAAGTGTGTATATGAAGCAGACAAGCAAGGGTTTCTGTACCTTTTAACCACTTGGAGTCATACTTGATGGTGCGAAGGGCAGAACCGTCTCCCATGCTGCGATAAATCACAGCATCGCTGGCCAGGAAGTCTGCCACGGTTGCTGAGTACAGCTTACCATCTATGGCATAAATACGTGAGCTTAAAACACACTTTATCTTCATTACATAATTATATACAACTCAAGGATTATACTTGGAGCTCAACACACGTCTCAGAACACAAAAGGCTTATTAACACTCTGGTTTTTCACACTCATAAATGCATGATACAATGAACAAGATATTTCATAACACTTTTTGCTTTTTAACTTCCTTGTTCCTGCTATTTTATATGGTCCAGGTACTAAAATATAAATCATCTTTCTGTCGTAATACTACTACTAATAATAATTTCTTGTTTCAAGCATGAATCTAGTTAAATTTAGTGAGTTTAATGCTTTAAAAATATTTAGATATTTGAACTGGAGGTTTTTTGCAGCGTGTGGCCTGTACAGACTCATTCAGATGCATACGTGACATCACAGCGTGCTAATTCTCGCCAGGTTGTGCCGTTCCTGTCTGTATACTAACAGAGCTGGCGTGAAGACAGGACGTTCTCACGGCTTCTGATTTATGCGCAACATAAGTCTCGGCTCTCATTGGAGTGTTAATTTTATCCAAAACCTTTAAAATTCATGGCAAAGTTATTCATCATCCTCCTCATTATCCTGACAGCTCTCATACCAGCAAACAGGGCAACGTTCGTCTGCTTGGCGTCAAACGGGCATCGGGCCAAACCGCTGATCTCTTCCCCATCAAACTCCAAGTTATCCAACTAAATAAGAGAGGGAAATAGATAGAAGATATAGAGATCCAGAGTTCTTATATTCATTGTACTGTAAACTGCTCCACATTAACCAGTCACTTATTAAAAGCAAAACAACAGGCAGACAGTCACGTAGCCCTAACAGCGTGACCTACCCTGTAGTAACGGCACATAGGATTGAAACCATTTGTTCCGCAGATGAACACAAGATCATCGTTTCTAGGAACCAGGACTTTAATGAAATTATGGCACTCGTCCTGAAAGGAAGACAAGACAGTGAGATTGATGGTTGCTTTAGTGCTGTAAATACTACAAAACCAGCGACGGCTGATTTATGCTGAAAAGGTGGAGGACTCACTCTGTGCTTTCCCTTCATGGCGCACGTCTCCCTGTCCGCCTGTCCCGACCGCCACGTTAGCTTCTGTGACATCACACACCATCACCATTAGACACAGTTTCCCACACTCTTAAACATTAACAATGTGCTACACCATGGGCAGGGACAGAAAGACAGAAACAGAAACCTAGCGATTTACAGAAAGTGCTTCGATGACTGGAATGGGAACTTAGATTAACAAGAGATAGTTTTTATCACCTGGCGTGCCTCAATGGGACAAGAGCACTTTGGTCATAAATTAATTTACTGTGAACCCACCCTGTATGGAATAATCTCGTTCCTGTAGGACTCTCTCAGACTCACTAAATACACCTGGTCCCTGCGAGAGAGAGAGAAAGAGAGAGACTGTTTTCACACAAATTACTACTCATAGTTCTACTGTTCATCAAACAGCTCATCTGAACAGGTCCAACGGTCGAAGATCTCGCTTCCACATCCTGTGCTGACTTACCTGCCTGCGATGAAAAGCGTATCGTGTATCTTGGTCATGAGCTGAAAGTCCAGTCTGTGCTGAGATTCGTTGCCAGAGGGGCGTCCACGAAACACGGGGTACTGTCGTGCATCTGTGGAACAAACAGATGCACCGTTATTCAGTATTAGCGGCAACAGAGATCAATGTTGGTATTGATCGACTGCGGCAACTGCATGTTAAACTGCCCTGAAGAAAGACTTTGCTAAAGTAATGAATGCAGGTCTTGCATTGACGTTCAGCGACTGCACTGTCAGCATGCTGGAGTGTTTTCTCACTGCAGAGCACAGCAGCGCTAATGCAATGACTTTATATGTGCATGTCTTCTTACAGAGAACATGGCAATATTTTTATTGTTTGCCCAAGTTTAATTTAGTTAAATTATGTAAAAAGTGTCACTGTTTTGTGCAATACAGAACATGCAAACTGACATTTTCCCTGTTGCATGTATATCCACTAGCCATTGTTTATGGGAAATGTGATGCACTAGTGAGAGTGTAAAAAAGTGCGCTTCATGGAAGTTTACTTTCTAAAAGCCTGCAGTCCCAAAAGTGCCCTTAGTTCAAGAAACACCAGTATGTTTTTTTTCTTCTTTTTGATAAAGATCCTATGTAGATGGGGGCAATTCAGAAACAGTCTGGTGTCTGGATCTTACAGTGTCGGTCCACAACGTCTAAAGGAATGTTGTCCTCAGGAAAGCTCACAGCCTCCAGATGGGATGCCACCAGCAGCAGTAGCAGGTCAATCGTCAGTTCTCGCCACCCCATCGCTGGCACAGAGGGCACACACCTCCTGTACTGCACTTATGTAGATGTTACCTGTAACACACACAAACACATGCAGACGTCAACATACATCAGCCACTATTTTTAACTACTTGCTCATGTGTTTTTGTGCATGACCTCTGTCAGGATTTGCTGTGTAGATTAGAACGCCTGGTTTTTCTGTATACACGTGCAGGTTCACTCCCAACAATTCATTTAGTGTGTGTGTGTATTTGGCAGCCAATACCTATGATTGAAAATCTGTCCATGAGAGGAAGGTCAAAAAACAGACAAAGAGGCAGTGGAAAGCGAGCGCTTAAGACACCACAAACCTGAACGCTGTTATCAGCTAGCTCTGATGAACATGTACACTGTACACTGTTTTAGAATGGAATTTGTGCACTATTAAATGTGCATGTGTGTTTGGGCTGAGTACTATGATTGGGAGTGTGTTTGCTGTGCCTGGCACAGAAGTCTCGAAATGGACATCCAAACAGGAAGATTTTCAGAGTGCTGTGGTTGGGGTCGTGTCCTGGAGAGACAATCATCTGTGCATATTAATGAGCAGTGTAAAGTCAAATATTTATAAAGCTACAAATTATTCATGCCAACAAAACCCGAACGGATATAAACAATTTACATGGAGACAACAAACAGCTTGGCAGAAAGAGAGAGAGTGAGTGAGTCAGGCCTCAACCACTTCCTGAGCGCATCTCGCCACACATGCTCACTTACAGTATTGACATTTTTGCAATTAGCAGCCCTGCGCACCTGCTCCCATGCTGTAATATGCATATGCTGCCTGTACCACCCTGCTATTATTGATTAGCTGTTGATTGATCAGCTCTCCATTGATCAGCTGAATGGGGGATGTGACCTAGGAAAATTCTCCTTATGAAATACGATCCACAGTCCTTCAAGGAAGGGAGGTTCTCCGCTCATCTGTTGCCATAATGGATCTTCATTTCTACAGGCTGACTGCAAGGGATTCTGGGCTATCGTGCTTTGTTTGGATCAATAGAAATGACTCTTTCTCTGGCAATTTCTTATATGGGATGAGAGAAAGGGTTGATGATTTGAGAAGACGAAGTTATGAAAAGAGATGTAGAGACAAAAGACGAGCTTAGAAACAAAGACAAGAAAATATAAAGGAAAAAGGAAAAAAGGGAAGGAAAAAGGCTAGATGAGACAAGGTGAGACAATAAAATGTGAAGATGAGGAAAAAGGAAACAAGAAGTGTTGAGACAAGCATAAAAGACAAGATGAGATGAAAAGGAGCGACAAGACGAGGCAAGAATTGAAGCAAGGAGAGGAGCTGAGAAAAGGATGAGAATAGAACGTATGAGACAAGAAGTGAAGAAAAGAAGAGAAATGACGAGATGAGAAAAGAAAGGGTCGAGAGGAGACAAGAGGAGCAGAGACAAATAGTATAGATGAGGACAGACCAGATAAGAGAAGTAGAAAAGAGAGACAAGACGAGACCAGAGACATAAGGAGAGACAGGATAGGAAGGAAAAAAGACAAGATGAGGCAAGAATTGAAGAAAAGAGAGGCAAGGAGAGGACATGAGACATAAAAATAAAACAGAAAAAAGAAAACAAGAGAAGATGAGACAAGAAAGAGAAAAGAAAGGGGCAAGATGAGAAAAATGAGACAAGATAAGCGGAGACAAGACAAAATAGAACAGATAAGATGAGAAGGACACACCAGATTACATGAGACAAACATGAGAGACAAGAAGGGAAGAAAAGGAGAGGCAAGATGAGAGACAAGATGAAAACAGAACAGATTATATAAAAAAAGAAGAGAAGAAAAAGAAAAGAAAGATGAGACAAGGTGAGAAAAGACAAGGTGACAAGGACAAAAATGGAGACAGAATGGAGAAGGACAGACAGAAACAGGACAAACAAGATGAGGAAGACACACTGTATGAGACAAGCATGAGAGATAATATGAGATAAAAAGAGAAGGATCAAGACGAGACAAGATGAGAAAAGGAGAGACCAGAAGACGAGACAGGAATGAAGATGAAGTTGCCCTTGCCCATGTGAGCTTGAGCAATTAAAAGCTTTAATGTTTGGACACTCAGTGGAAGTCAAAGGTCAAGGGGTCAAAAAATGTGTCTATCATAACAGAGTTACAAATGAATTTCTTTTCCCAAGCTCATCCTTGATCAGTACAGAAGTGCACACATCAGCAGAACGGCACTCTCGGAGGGGTCGGGAAACACCGTATGGATTAAGCGATGTGTACAAGAGGAGCCCCAGTTTAATACAGCACTGAGAGTCTAATCACAGCTTCACAGTGCCATATCATTTCCTCCGCCTGGATATTACTTCAAAAAATAAAGAAGGATATTTCCAGCACCCTGGAACATATTCATTGTCAATGACAGAAATTCCTCACAAGCTCTAATCATTATTCATAGAAACACAACAGGGAGTTACGCAGACACGCTACAATACCACAACTATTCCGGCATACGAAAAACACCAGGTTCGGGCAAAGAGAGCGAGAGAAACCTAATGCAAAACAGAAACAAAGGACATACAAAGGTCTGCCGGCTTGAATTTCTTTTCAATATACAGTGAGCGCAACGTGTTTTCTATTGAATGTCTTGGTTTGGTTTTCCATTCTTGCCCTCCAGTGTATGAGCCTGGACAGGCCCTGCGTTGAGAGAGGCGACTAGTCACGCAACCTGTTAGTGTTTAGCTGCTCCCCGGCTACTCTCATTACAGCCGCTCTCCGTGCGATGCAATCGCACACTCGTTGATGTTTTTGGCTGCGTTTCCCGGGATGCTGGCACGCCGCTTGTGTTGGCAGGTCGTTCTAGTAAGACTGCCTGCAGCAGATCCACCCAGCGCCCGCCCACGAGAGTCCAGCTGCAGGAAATGCGAGAGTGAAGGCCAAAAGAACAAAGCCGGTCAGTGACGTTCTGTGGCTTCAGTTAACCTTGTGAAATAAACACTCCCCAATGGTGCAGCTGATGTGCTAAGGTTAGCTTCATGCATCCTGATGCAGGAGAGAATTATGTCACTTAACCGAGGAGTTGCATTTCACAATCACTTTGCTTTGGTTTAACATGAACCCTGCAGGTCTGCCTGAGGCCTGACACTGAGAAAGAAGGTGAAAGAATAAATCAACAGAAGCTGTAAAATAGGGACGGCGAGTATGATGATATACCACACAATGGCAAAAATGTGCCAGCTGCTAGAGAATCTATACCGAGGCAGATATAGACAAGTAGATATCAGTGCTCAGGAGTGCTTTACAATATTTACATATAAGAGAAAAAGAAGAAACCTGGAAAAATGTGATAATACAGTGAAGGGACGTGTACCAAAAAATGTATTTAAGTGTAGAACTAGTTATTAAGGGTATTTGTTAAGCACAACACAAAACAGGGTTTAATAATTTATGATTGGCAATCAACTTTGCCAGGTTTCTGCATAAAAAAATATACAGTATATATAATAATAATTTGTGGTCACACGTGTGCATATTTTGCATTGCACTGTGATCTTGTCAGAATTTTAGGTCTGAACTATAATGTTTACTGTTTTTCATTTCAAAGGGTATTGTATAAAATCTATCAAAAACTTATATAAGTATAATAAATATACTTAAAACGATTCATATGTAATATAGAAAACTAACATGCAGTCACAGGTTTGCATGTATCAGCTATTTTACACTGATCTGTGGCACTGTGGCTCATTATATCAAAATTTGGAGTCTGAACTATTAGTTTGATAAAGTATCAGTTTAATAAAATAAAATGTACTATTCTTTATGAATAATTATATATTTTGGTTTGTGTTCAAATATAAAATTTATATAAATTAATACATAAATAATAATCAAGTCAGTTAAGTATCTTTTGTTTGTAATGTATATAAGTAACTGGATTATGCACATTTAAAAATATATATATCAATATATATATAATAACTATATTACTATGTAGTATGTAGACAGTATTTATAGATAGTAGTTTTTATAAATAATAACTATAATTACATGTATAGTTAGTTATAGTTATTATTTATTTAAAAAACGATATTATTTAGTAATATAATTATTTAATAATAAAATTAAGATATTGGTAAAACTGTCATAAGATATTGGTCATACTGCCCACTAAAACTGCAAAATGATCTTGAAAAATGGGCCCTCGTATCTGTTTTCACAACTCAGCAGTTGTGATGTGTGTGGTTTCAGAGAGACTCACGCTAAGATTAGAGCTCTCCCACACAAGAGCACTGAAATCATAAAGTTGTTTACAGTAGGATTACAGCTGAGGAGTCACAACTTGTTACTCCACAGCTGTAAGAAGGGTCACTGCCCCACCTGTGCATACTGTGCCCACCCCCACTCTCCCAAAGCCATCTCCTGCAGGTGAAGTGACATGTGGCCAAGTATGGTGACCCATACTCGGAATTAGTGCTCTGCATTTTACCCATCCAAAGTGCACACACACAGCAGTGAACACACACACACCGTGAACACACACCCGGAGCAGTGGGCAGCCATTTATGCTGCGGCGCCCGGGGAGCAGTTGGGGGTTCGGTGCCTTGCTCAAGGGCACCTCAGTCGTGGTATTGAAGGTGGGAGAGAGCGCTGTACATTCACTCCCCCCACCTACAATCCCTGCCTGTACGAGACTCGAACCCACAACCTTTGGGTTATGACTCTCTAACCATTAGGCCACAACTTCCCCCAACAGGTGTCTGTGTGTGTGTGTGTGTGTGTGTGTGTGTGTGTGTGTGTGTGTTAAGGGAACAATAGAGAGTTCAGGGTCCGTTCACTCTGGGCCAGTGAGGAGACTTCCATGCTTTAAAGGTTAAATCGGTTACTCAAGCCTGACCGAGGCTGAACACAAGACAGCAGGACTGGCGTGGGCTTAGTGGACACAATGTGGCCAGCTGTTGTGATTGACTTTATTCACAAACCCACATGAAAAGTGCTGAGGCTGCTTCACGGTGAAGTTTCAACAGAGGTAGATGTTATCTGGCGCTCTCTGAAAGAGGGTTGACAGGTTCAGCAGAGATAAGAGGAAACGCAGGGGGGCCGTGCACTCTTGTGGTTTGTATTTATAGTATTTCTAAGAGATGGACCTCTTAAACTTGATGCCACACATTAATGAAAGACAAACTAACAAAAGCATGCATTAGGAGAACAGCATATCTCATTAACTTCCATATGGTCAAACAGCGAGAAATGGTTAGAGAAGAGCAGGGAGTGTTGTAATATGGAGTTGAAACCGTTTAACCAATTAAAAATCAGCTACAGGGTGAAATCACTATTATAAATGACAAGCACCCTTCTGAGGTCACAGTAGAAGTTGTAAGACTAACTTGATATACAGTACATCCACACAAGCTATTCCTCTACATGTAAAAAAGAAAGCCTGTGTTTTTCTGTCATTGTGGATATCCATTTAAATTGACTTGTGTTTATACTAAGCAAATTCTATTTTCTGTCCCTGACCCCTAACCCTCACAAAACAATTTTTCTGCATTTTAATGAAGACATTATTTAGTTTGTTTATTAAGTTGTTTTCCTCCTGGGGAACGTAAGATGCTTCACACAATGCAGGTGATTTCAGGTTTTACTGTCCTTTTGGGGACATGCGGTTCTCATGATCTAAACAAAAGCTCAGCACAAACATGTTTTAGCTGTTATCTTATGTTTTATGTATTTGTTCTACATTTGTTGCTTGCTGTTTTGAATTAAAATGTTTTCTGTTTGTTATCAGTTGTGAATTACCATGTTTCACATAAAATGGGTGGACTGAGGTTATGGCATAACAATTGTTTTGAAGAAAATTAAAATAGATGTACAACAAATTTGAATTTTTACAGATTGAGTACAGAATTTAAACGTATGTTTTCTATTTGTCTTACAACCTCAAATATGGTAGCCTATGAATTTGTGAAATATAAAATAATTTTAAATACGTTACCTCGGTCTCCCCTAACCTACTTCATGTTTTGCACTCAGCATTTGCCTCAACACGCAACATTCTGCGCGTATTCAGAACTAAACGAGATAACTGTGCAATTTCTTCCTTAACGACTCATTCACTCATTAGTTGATTCATTCTTCTGACGGCTGCCACTCCACGTAAAAACTCTTTTCGTTTCATTTTCTACGTGCTTGTTTTTCACAGCGCATCTTGGATGTCACTCAACAGTTTCTCTGTGGCCGATTCAGCCCAGATGAACAGCATAAAGCATCTTCAAACTAAACCTTCTCCGCTCGGAACCGGACCTGAACTCCGTCTCTGAACAGAGCATGTGAATCAAAGCGTTCAAGCTGGAGCCGAGGCGTGACGAATCTCTTAGAGTTGCAGTAAATGCATAAAGACAACAGAAGAGTGTTGGGTCGGTAATGGCTTCTGCTGGGAAATTGATTGTGTTAATGCATGACCGTGGGCTCCAAAACCCACTTTACACAACAACGGCAACACACTCTCTCTCCCTCCCTCTACCTCGGACCACATTCTACAGGCAGTAGAGATATTATTTTGTTGCTCAAGAGATCGTATCAGTTTAAATTTTATGATGCAACTCCTAGGCAAATCTGCCTTGTTCTACTACTATGCGAACTTGGATCCCTCATCATTACGGGACAGGAGGGGTCTGAAGTGCATTAAGATAGGCTACATCTGTTCCACCCATTGTCAGAAATTAACTGACATTGATTTTCAGGGGCATTTATGACCTCTATGAGGGCGTTTTTCCCTCAAATAAATCACAAGCAATGCCAAATGTTTAAAATGATTAATAAACTAATTGAAATTGACACTAAAGTGTATGAATACAGGTATTTCATAATATTTCTATTATTTACCTTTCAATTGTTATGTAAAAACATGGGGATTCACTGTAAGAGCATGTTGCCCCCGTATTTTGATTATCTGTGGTATTTTAGCCCAACGTCCGTGTTAATTTCTTACTCTTGTGCCATCTCCCCGTTTTATTATAGCCTATGTAAGAAGAAACGATACAATTGAGGAATCAAATGCTTGAATCAGTTTCCCACATTGAGTTGTTTAAATCCCGTTTTTCGTTTTTTTTGTTGTAATTAATTATTTTTCATTTATATTATGATAGTAGTATCAAGAAGAAACATTATACAAACAGTATTTTGTATTATTTCCCCCCTTTCAATCGAATAATAAAAGCACTGTATCAACAGGATGTGACAGTAAGGCACTGCTTTTCTCTCATTAATAATGCCAAATACAATCAGTTGCTTTTATCCAAGCGCTTCCATCCGTGTTGAGTTAACAGTCCAAATGCAGAAAAAAAGTTGCGGTACAACAAAATGCTACATTTACTCCAACATCTGTGTGACAACAAAGTATAAAAAGGAAAACAGAAATCCTACCTGAATGTTCTCCAAACAGCATGTAGACTACGATACCCTCTCCGCGTTATATTCCAAAATGTTTTACGCTATTAAATCCAGTGAAGATCAGACAGCATGTGTGCAGCTCGATCCATAATGCCAGAAGATTCCCATGTGTTTGTTTTATCCGAACCACCCAAAACAATTCCCAGAGCCCGTGGGGTTCGTCCAGCTCGTCCCCGGGATAAAGCTTTGTGATCTTCAAAAGCTCACCGATCAAATAGCACCAAGACCCTCCCTCTCCTCTAGTACCACCCCCCCGTCATTCACCAAACCAAACCAATACAACCCAAACCAAATAAAACTAAGTAAGTAATTACCTCAAGAGATCTACTCTTCAGAATTAAGAACTTTAAGCGCGTGCGTCAGTCCGCTTTTAAACAATCCGAATCGGTGTGAACGGGTAAAACAGGGTGAATAAAAATAGCTCCAGTTCTATTTTTTGCGCTGCACCTAGAGTACTTCTGATGTTTTGGAAATCTTTTTTCTTTTCGCTTCTTTTCCTTTTTCCCATTTGTACCGGCTCAATCGCTCGTAACGCTGCATTTTCTCTGTTAAATCAACTCACCTCATCTGAATCCGTGATTCTCTTTACGCGATTTGGATCGCAACAACTCTGAGTCAAGCTTGATGTGTCTCTCTCCGTTCTGAGCGGGGAAAAACAAACTAATGCATGGCAAATGGTGTAACTCGATCCATCCCGAGTCCATCCATCAGCAGAGCCAACCACAGCCTAGCCTAGAAAAGGATCCCTCCCCATTCCCTCTCTCTATCCCTCTCCCTCTCTTTCTCTCTACTCCCTCTATCCACTCCAGCGCTAGTAGATGTGGTTTTTGGCTGCTTTCCCTTGCTCGGCTGTTTTTTCTTTCTCCTGCCAGAGTGTGAGACCTTTATTGTCTGTATATGTGTATCTATTTATGTATATAAAGATATGTATATAATATTTATTAATGCAGTTGCAGTGTAAACACTTTTTAACACACCAATAAAGTGTCTTAAATCTCTTGTGTGTATATATGCGAGAGGCCCTCACATCTTGGTGACCCGGAGGGGCCCCCCTCTCTTTCCAATCCCTTCCCCCAGCAGTAAGCTGCTTGTTAAATCTTTTCCACAGAACTGTTTTGGGAAGGGAGGACAACGAACCACACTCCGTGGAACTGCTCTTTGGAAGGAAATCTTGACTTTCAGCTTGAGGCGGAAAAGGAAAGGAGCGAATAGAATTTATTTGGACACAGTGCTCCCATGCATTTTCACCATCAACCTTTCAGAACCGTTTTCAATAATGAAGGCCTGCATAGAAAACGTTCTCTTAATCTGTACATTAAACACAGCTGCGATCAAAGTTTTCAAAGTTTATTGCTTGCATATGCATGTCTGCACAAATAAAATTCAAGTTTGCAGTATATGTGGTCAAGTATATTTCGAAATGTTTGTTGATAAATTAAATATTAACGTAAGCTGCTGTATGAATTAGTTACAGATTTACTTTAGGCTGTATTGTGTACGAGTGTGAACATTAACACATACGAGCTGATAGTGAAACAAAGAACGGTGCAGAGTGTTAGAGGATTTGGCAGCTGTGCAGAGACACTGCAGTTGACAGTATTTAGTATTGTGGTTCTTATAAGTGCATAAATGTTGCTGTGAAATGCACACAAGCATCTAAAAGTCAATATTATCTATGCTCTCAGCAGTCGCTAGATCCCTCTTCGCTGCAATCGGAGTAGATATAATGATTAGAACATTAAATGCAAATATAACTGTGGAGAAGCAACTCAGAATGCCATCACATCCTGGAGGTAACTGGACAGACACACATTGTACATACAGGTAATAGTTTTAGAATTTGTTCCACTGACCTAGTTGAGTCTGCTGTTAATAAACTCATCAGCACAGGTGAAGACAGGAAAAATAGAGCAGGTAGAGGAAATTGAAAAGTGAAAGCTTTATGTCCTAAGACCTCCCAAAGTATTTTTTGTTATCCAGAGGTTGATCTTTCTCATGAGACATATCGAGATGTCAGTTACGATTCATTAAAGTTTCAACTTTATCTCAAAAGTTTCTACCAAAATTTCTTAAAGAGAAATATTCATAATCAATTGTGGACATACATTAGTAAAGAGCTATAGCCTAAATTGAATGTTCACATTTGACTTGTAATCACAGACTGTTATCTTTACAAATCTGAGCATAGTTTGAGTGATTATTGAGATCTCTTCAGAAACTCCAGGTGACACACATGTGGTTCTTTTTCTAAAAATAATCACTAGAAAGAGACATAGGCTAAGGTCAAAAGACAAAATCTCCATTTAATTACATTATTTAAAAAAGTAGATTTTTCTTCCAAATGGGCATAGCCTTCAATACTGCATAATCATGCTAATCAAATGATTAGTCTATACATCAAAGACAAAAAAACAGCTATTTTTTTATTTCCTTAAGCTGTAAAAGCTAGATTAAATGCATGCAGAGGCTTAATAAAGTCGGGTGTCGAGAGGTTGGGGCAGTGATAACACCTGACCCTTCCCCTACACATCTTCGCAATTACATACATGCATAAGCACACACTCACACACTTGTGACACACACCTCTCCATTATCACCCCCGGTACTGTTCGTTAGCATGTGAATGTTCAGTAGGAAGGCAGAACGACTTCTAAACTACTTGCTACTGGTCTGCCATTGTCTACTGTATGTGTGAGATTGACGGCAGAGGGGCAGAGGTGGGCACTCCCAGCCTCTTGAGAGCTTTGCGGGGGGTGTAGGGTGAAGGGTTAGCCAGCAGACCTCTGCAGCCCATCCACTCTCACTGCTCAGCCTGATTTAGTACCGTCCAGCCCCCACAGATGGCACAGAGAGACACACACAGAGAGACAAGGCCATGGAAGTGCAACACTTGTGTGACAAATGGAGCCCAGACCAGCATCATGCCACAGACACGCTCTTAATCGGGCAGTGTGTGTGCATGTGTGTGTGTGAGGGTCTGGAGCTGCTTGACACCCAGACTGCATAACTCGCTCGGTCATAATGTCATGCTGAATTTCTGTGCAATACTGTTTAGTATAATTCATTTGGACAGTTTCATATTTCCAAGGGAAATGTCCATCAGTACAAAAATTAAATACTGAAATAAATTTTGAATAAAAATTGGTATGGTTCTTTGGCAGAAAGGGCAGTTTTTTTTAATATGTCTAATCATGAAAGCCACAGTGACCCATGGTGTATTCTACGCTCAATTCCATCATGCAAAATCATTTTTTGTCACAACCTGTTGGTGAAATCGCGTGCGTAGAGGGTGTGTTATTTGCATTGAAGATTATGATTCAGCGATTTAATGTTCATCGTTCTGAGACAGTGAGAGACTTAACCAGGCTCGGACAAGCCCGACCCCTCCTGCTACTGAGACCAACTGCTCTGACATGTAAACCTTCAAAACACTTCACGCAGCTGAACACAATAAACGGTCCATAATTACACTCCTCTGCAGACGACGAGTCTTCCTTTATTTCTTTCTTTGGATAGTCACTTCCTAGAGAGTATTTAGAGAGCAGATGTGATAAAGTATTACTTCATAATTTATTTAAACACAGTTTTTGTCTGTGCCGTATTTTTGTCTATTTCCTACAGTACATTACTGTAAAAAAGACAGACAGATAGATATATAAATAGACACAGATAGAAAGAAAGAAAGACAGACGGACACAGACAGACAGATAGACAGATAGATAGATAGATAGATAGATAGATAGACATGGTTGGACGGACGGACGGATAGACAGATAGATAGATAGACAGATAGATAGATAGATAGATAGATACGGTTGAATGGACGGACACAGTCAGACAGACAGACAGACAGATAGACAGACATACAGACATACAGACAGATAGATAGATAGATAGATAGACAGACAGACAGACAGACAGACAGATAGATAGAGATAGACAGACAGACAGACATACAGACATACAGACAGATAGATAGATAGATAGATAGACAGACAGACAGACAGACAGACAGATAGATAGATAGATAGATAGATAGATAGACAGACAGTCTGTCTCAGTGGGTGGTTCAGTGTTGGCAGCAGTTTTAATCTTACGACATGAATATTGGCCAATAAAAGTAAGGATGAGTGTTTTTGTTCTGATTACACATTGATGTAAAGTGTCATGGTTCTGGGTCAACGAGCTGTAACTCCGGTCAACCACCCTCTGAAAGTGCCCTGTCCCTGAAGACACAGTCCTGCACACATCCTCCGAACAGTCAGACCCCCTTAAACATTAAAAAAGTTCTGTTTGTTTCTTTAGTTTCTACTCTATCTACTAACACAGTTCTCCTCTGAACTTGTGTTTACATCCCAACAGGAAGCTGCAGACAGGATGTGTATACGGTTTAAGACTATAGCACAAGAACTGGAGATTTTTGTTGACACTTACATTAATTATGAATGTACTGAGCTATCACCGTGGCTCAGATAGACATAATCATATTCATAGTCGCTGCCGTAGGTAATTTCCAGAGGGATATGTCAGCGTCCGTGCGAACCAACAGATTGAAGACAGGAAATGACATTCGAGCTCATTATTTATTGACTCATTGCCATGAAATTTATATGTGAAATAATTTTCCTTTTTTAGAGATTCTAGGATCTCATTCTCCTGGAAAATGTCATATATTCTCTCTCATTCCATCTGTCTTTTGGACTCAGCTGACATCTTCCCGCTCACCTTAGCTGCTCTTATCTGGTCCTGATAATATCTGTCTGTGCTGGGGATATACTGCTCAGCGCTCATAACCTGTTGTTTGCTGAGGGACGTGTGTCTGTTGTTTCTTCAGATCAGAGACTGAAACTAATTAGACATTAAGCTATTAATCCACATCAGTAGACTGTTCCTGACTGACATTCTTAATGTTGCTCTTTTTCACATCAGTATCAGATCTTCTTCTCTTGTCAAGTCATAAAGGATTTTTTTTTTAGCCTGATGTTGCAGGTTCAAGAGATTATGTTTAAGCTCTACATGATAAGACTGTCTGAATGTGTCTGACTTTATAATGTTTGAAATTCTGGGACTTAATCTGTTTTTCCTAAACAGCCAGTCTGTTGTGGTAAAATATATTATGTGTTTATTAATCTCTGCATTGACTCACATAGACAAAGAGATAGTTCACCCAAAAATGTAAATTCTGTCATCATTTACTGACCCTCGTGTCATTCCAAATCTATATTCATTTCTTTCTTCTATGGAACACAGAAGAAAATACTGGATCAACAATGGACCTCTTTGACTTTAACCAAATACATAAATTAAAAATATATCATTTTTAGATGAAAGGAATATATAATTTTTTTTCTGTGAACTATCCCATTTAGTTAAATGAAATGTGCACAAGCAGTCTTTCAGTGCATAAACCTGCGTCCTATTCACTAACCTAAAGTAATTCAGCTTAAGCAGGCAAAAATAACAGTATTTAAAATTAATAATGTTTTTCTTTTCAGTATAAACATGCCTACTTTCTATGCAAATTTGATTTGCTGCAACCATATGCAAATAAATAAACAAACAAACAAACAAACAAATAATTAAATAAATAAATTGTAGCCAAAATATATTTTAAATATATGCTAAATATATCATGTATATAGTGAAGCTGAATGATTAGAGAAATCCA